AAATAAGGGCCAATTAAGATAATTAATTAATGAAATATTTAAAAGAGAAATCAAAATTAAATATTAATTTTTTATTTGAATAAGTGTTTAAAATAAATAATGAAATAATTTATTAAATATACATAATCAATTAAGATAATAAATTAATAAAATATTTAAATGAGAAATCAAATTAAATATTAATTTTTTATTTAAGCAAGTGATTAAATAAATAATTAAATAAAGAAATTAAATATTAAATAAATAATATACATAATCGATTAAGATAATTAATTAATGAAATATTTAAACAAGAAAGTAAATTTAATATTAATTTGAGTAATTGTTTAAAATAAATAATTAAATATAAAGTGAAAAGTGTTTGATTTTTTAATTTGTAAGTTAAGGGTATTTTTGTCTTTTGCAACAAAATTCTATTTTTGTAATTATATAAACTACTTAAAGGTATTTTTGTCTTTTACTCAATGAAAGGCTATTTTGGTGATAGGCAAATTTCTTTTGATTAAACTGAAAAATTATCCCCTTTGACTTGGCCAAACTAAAAATTACCCCATTCCAAAAGGACAATTCATTTCCCTTCGTCCCGCGAAAACCCTAGTTCGATATAACCAACCCAAAAAAGATATATTTCACTGCGGCGCCTCCTTTCAGATATCTCACAAAACTCATCTCCTGTCTCCCTGCAGAAAATGCCGCCGAAGTTCGACCCATCCCAGGTAGTGGACGTATTCGTCCGGGTCACCGGTGGTGAGGTCGGAGCTGCCAGTTCTCTCGCTCCGAAAATCGGACCCCTCGGCCTGTCACCTAAGAAGATCGGTGAGGACATAGCTAAGGAGACTGCAAAGGACTGGAAGGGCCTTCGCGTCACTGTTAAGCTCACCGTCCAGAACCGCCAGGCCAAGGTCACAGTTGTCCCCTCCGCTGCTGCCCTCGTTATAAAGGCCTTGAAAGAGCCCGAGCGTGACCGCAAGAAAACGAAGAACATCAAGCACAACGGGAACATTTCGCTTGATGATGTTATTGAGATTGCTAAGGTTATGAGTCCGAGGTCCATGGCCAAAGATTTGTCGGGTACAGTGAAGGAGATTCTTGGCACGTGTGTCTCCGTTGGGTGTACGGTTGATGGGAAGGACCCGAAGGATTTGCAGCAGGAGATTACCGATGGTGATGTGGAGATTCCCCTGGATTGAGTTTGAATTAGAATTCGAGTCACTAAAGTTTATTTCGCTTTTACTTTTTGTTTTTTGGTTTATTGACTTTTATGAACTACTGGGTTTTTAATTAGCTTGAAAGTATTTGCTCTAAATTGCTACTTTTGTTGGTAATGATTGAAGACATGAATATATGATCTGACTAATTTGAAGTAGGGATATGTGGTGAAGATTATATTATGGATTGGAATACTTGTTTTCTTTGTGTAAATAAATAAGCTTGTATCCTCTTATGAGTTCATCAGTTAAGTTGCTCTGTTATTGAGAATATAATTTTTGGATTATGGGAATGGTCATGACTTCATGGAATAATATAATTATGCCCTGGAAATGTTTCCCTGCTGATTGAACTAGAGTTCAAAGTTGAAAGGGTTGTAGTTTAGGAAATAGTTACGAATTATGTTATTGTTTTATTTAGTTTTGCACGTAAATTGTGAAGTTCATGAATGGCCTAGACTTTTTTCCAGGGGCTGCTGTCTTTTCTTTTGCCAGGATTCTTGGCTGGTTTTCCTTGTACTGGAAAATGATCGAACCATGGGAACGAATCTACAAATTTCCATTTTCTAAAAAAAATTGTTGTATTTTTATATTCTGCCTTAGGATCATTTCACTCAATTTATCTTGTAGTTTTAGTTGCAATAGTTTCACTGCCTTTCAAATTAGCTGTCATTTGTGAGGAGGCTTCCCCTTTCGAGGACCTTGACGATTTCATATTTTCTTTTCTTGCATCTTGTTTGAGACAGTATAATAATTGCTGCTATGAAGAGGTGTATTTCGATAGGTTTGAAATTTTTGTTCTTGCTCGTCATTTTACATGGGATAACGTTACTACTATGTGTGAACGAAAGCATGTTTGGTGTTCTAGGTCCGTAGATGTCAATTCACCGATAAAAAGTCCTGGATTAAGTTGTAATGCTTTAATTTGGGGACATGCCATGTAATGCCAATCTGCTTAATATATGTTTGATGTGTTTTTCTGGTATATATGTGTATATAAATCGACCGTCTTGATCCTTCAAAAGAAAAAAATGATGGTCTTGTTTTGTTGTTTGTACAATTGCATCTCTGCATCATCATATTTACAACTATAGAATTACATCATAGACCGTAAAGATCACTTCCCTATTCCTACTGGTTGATAGTTTCGTCTGTTATTTGGTTAGAATCAGTAGTTAGCGTCAAGAGAACCCTATAGTAATTACTTGTTATCTTAGTTATAAGGTATATATTGCTTTAAACTCAAATCTGAAGTTTTCTTGGGCTCGGGGCTTATGTTTCATCAAGTGCGTTTTGGTTAGTTTTTGAGTTCATGCTCCCACCGAACCTTCATGGGGGTGTCTTCCTCTGAATCGAAGCCTCAGGCTGAGAAACTTTAATTCCTTCAGGCTGGGAAATTGTAATCCTAGCTGCAAAGGGACTTGAGTGTTGTACCTCCTATTGTGCATTGTGATATTAAGAGTTTTTAGTCCTTACATATTTTGATTGGGGAGCTCGAATGGCAAATTTTAGCCATTTGGCTCCAAATGACAGGGATTCTAGTGCTGATGTGAGAAACTGATGGGACTGCATGCCTCCTAATATAGCAGATCGGGCATATTCTATTTCTTGGCAAAACTTTAGAGCCAACAAAAATTTCTGTTTTAATTTTTCCTGTAATATGAAGTGCAAGGTATAGAATGAGGGACATTCTTCATCCGAAGATTTTGCACAAGTCATTTCCATTTCTTGCCACAAAGTCGTTCTTTCATACTACTATTAGTGTGCGTGTTAAATATACAAAAGATTTCTATGTTATTCTATATGATATTTCCAGATCGTCTGAAATTATTTTCGCAAGAAAACATAGCAGAAATTGTGGAACTCTGGATGAAACCAATAGTCAACTGTTATTCAAAAGATACATAATAGATTGACGAGGTCAAAACTCACTCCTCATCCAAGTACCCCAAGAAAAAATAATTGAAAAATTCGCTTTATGATCCTAAAAAGAATCATGCTATGTTGTCAGAAAATGGTTGACATGCAACCTGACCGATACTCACAATGGGGGGACCACTTTTTTTTTTTCTTTTTTTTTTTTTGGAATTTTTATTCATGTAGGACTCACGCGTAAGTGAGAAGATGTCAGCCAAGGTGGCAAAAAAAAATTCTGACAAACCAGCTTAATTCTAAAAAGAAAAGTGAAGAAAACTGCTCGAAAGAGGTGAGAATTTGTGGGCTAGTTTCCTCCTCACGCTCAAGTAGTGATGGTAATTTACACTGCCCCGCCCCGGTGTCGTCCCGCCCCGAATGGGGCAAAAAAACCCGCCCCGTGGCGGGGCATGGTGGGGGGGCGTAAATGGTTGCCCCGCCCCGCCCCGTGAAGAAAAAGAAAAAAAAAATTAAAAATAATTTTATTTCTAAACAATTCATCCGTTAAAAACTCATTTTAAATTTGTATTTTATTATCTAATAATAACATAATTCGAAACTTTCAAAATGTAAAAAATAAAAATAAAAATTAAAAAATTAAAAAAAAATTAAACGGGGCAAAAAGTTGCCCCGTTCCCGCCCCGTCCCGTCTAAGGCGAGGCGGGGCAGGGCACGGGGCGGGACGGGGTTTTTGCCAAACGGAACGGGGTGGGAGTGCCCCGTCCCGAACCCGCCCCATTGCCATCACTACGCTCAAGGAATCAATCCAAAACCTATGGCCCTTGAAATTTCTGGGGATAAAAAGAAGAAACAGTGATGGCAGCGGGGCATGAATCAATCCAAACCTATGGCCCGTGAAATTTCTGGGAATAAAAAGAAAGTGGTAGCCGGCGCCCCGCCCCGCCCCGCCTTAGACGAGGCGGGGTGGGGTGGGACTGCAACTTGCCCCGTTTGCTGCCACGTTTATTTATTTATTTATTTTTATTCATTTTTTCTCTTCATGGGGCGTGGTGGGGCGGGCGCCATCACTAGAAGAAACAGAAAATGATGGCAAGGTGAAGAGTTAACTTCATCTTTTTTAGCTTTATATCAGAATGCCAGCACTAAAGGCACTTGCTTATCTTTTTAGGAAAATAAGTAACAGATAAGGAAAGAGGCAAGTGGGCCTGGAATCCTACATTATTTTAACAACTATATACCCCTATAAATACATTTATAGCCATTCAGATTATCTCATAATTGAGTTCTTTGTCTGCGTAAACTATGCAGCCCCGATTTCAGGTGCCCTATCGAACACACGATTATGTTTTGAGGTAAGTTGATATGAAATAATCTGGGGTGTGCCTGGCTCCTCGTATGCCATTTGCAGTGGTCACCGTTTGGCGTTGGCTGTTGTGTATGGCATGGGAGAAGCCATGCATGCATTCCAAGCTAATGTTTTCCTTCTTTCTAATCCCAAAAATATGAAGTTATATGGCTTTAATAAGCACCTTTATATGAAAGAACAGTTCTATAATAACAATTATTGTGAACGTCATAGTAACCTTTTACTAATACTCCTATACATGATGACTTAATATCAATCATGTCTAATCTTCTGTAATGGCTTTTAACTGTTACAAAATGTTGATCGCTTTGATATCTCGATGAACAATACGAGGTCGACCCGTTGATGGAGATAGAAAAGTGCCTCAACAACACCTAATAAAACACCCCACCTCAAAATCCAAATAACTTTCGTCCTATTTTGTTCTCCCCCTATCAAGCTACAAAGAAGTAAAGATATATTTCCATCTAATTAAGTTTGAGGACTATTTTGCATAAATTAACAAAAGTATTATGCAAGAAGTGCATGAGACTATTGTTTTCCATGTAATGATAGACCAGAAGTCTTTGGCTCTATCAAGGATAATGCAGCTGTTTGAATCCCTGAGTGGCAACTTAAGTTCACTGTAAGAGAATTCAAGAAAATTTGGAGTTGGAAACAAATTGAATGTTACTGATCAAGATTACAAATTCCATTTCTTTATCACTGTTACATGTTGGAATTTGGAAGTTGTTGTTGTTGACTTTTTTTGTTTTTTTGGTTTTTGTTTTGTTTTGCCCCCCCCCCCCCCCCCCCTTCCCTCCTCTCTAAATTGAAGTTGACTAGTTTGGAATTGGGTCCCTACGTGAAACTTGAACTCCCTGATTGTCAGGCTTCATTTCACCATTGGAAATTTGACAACCATAGGTCGATTTCGAACTTTCAAGTACAAAAACATGCACCAAGATATAAAAAATATTGTAGTTTAAAATTTAAATTTTCAATAAATTTTAATTAAAGTTTATGGAATGTGAGCTTGAAAAATTGCGAACACATAAAAAATATGTAATGAAGATTAATTGTTGACTTTGACTTACATTAAAATCTAGATTCCTAGGTTCATAACATTGGACTGAAGGAGCCAAGCTAATCTTCTCTGTATCTGAAGGGGAAAACGTTTAACTGGCAAAATGGCCTCATGTTACAATGTAAAACAGACTGCCAGGAGGGGAAAAAAATGAATTTTTTGAAAGCAACTTCATCATTTCTGAACCTCGTCATTAAATGTTCTTTTCTCATACTTACAAAGAGATTGCAAATTCTTTATCACTGCAGTTCTATGGCATTTTCAGTCCTCGCTATACAATAATCTCACTGCAAGTTACATAATATGCTGTGGCATCGAAGAACGTTGAGAAGATATGTAAACGGCAACAGTAGCACCAATCATCTGACAACTTTCCCGGTTAATGATGGCTTTTCGTTGGAACTCATACTCAACAAAGAACCAGAGTTTCTTGATTGGTATTCAGCAAAACACGGTCTCATCCAAATTTTGATATGGCCCTCTCCGCCAACTGTGAGAATGGATTCCCGAGTAAGTGCCAAACCTGAGAGAGGTTCAGTGTGAACACGATGAACAACTATTGGGGAGAGCTTTGGAACCTCTCTCATGCCCGGAGCAGGCTGCAAGGTGCCAACAGGGAAACCACCGTCCCAATGAGTCGACTGACTTCCACTACTAAAAGTTGGAGATCCACACGAGGGGCGGCGCATTGGCACAACAAGCTCATCCATTACAAGATCCCATAGAAGCAATTGTGTGTCCTGCACATAATCATCAAGATATATATAGGAAGCACAGAGTCATTGGTTTTTAAGTAATAAAGTGCAAATGTCAGCATTAAATACTCTTATAGACTTTCAATTTAGAAATGCTTTACACAAGCTCTCACAAACATCA